CCGTGCTGGATGGTGCTTGCTCACTGGGAGGCGAGATGCGGGATGAATAAGGGGAAGGTGCAGGATGATTAAGGGCAGTGGGCGGCAGGCAGCGCGGGGGCGGCTGACCCGCCAGCGCCTTCGCCCAGCCCACACACACTGATCCATCAGCTCTCATCGGACCCCAAAACCATCTCCTCCTGAGCCCCCGTGCATCGCTGCTCCCTTTCCAAGCTCCTCCCTCCCCACAAATGCTCACAGCTCTGCCAGCTCCCTTCAGCTCTGATTTTCTGCTTTTTCTAACTGTTTCCCTGTCTTTTTCTCAATTCCTTCAGTCTTGACATGCTGCTGCTGCCCATCTCCCCTGTCCTCATGATACAACTCTCTCCATCTTTCCTGCCACAAGTGCTGGCACGGATTAATTGGCACGCACCCACTCCGACTGCACAGCACCGGTGTTACATCTCGGTGCCGCTGAGATGCTGGGGCTCTGCAGTGAAAGATCAGCTCAACAGGAATCCTCAGCAGGAGCTTAAGATTCTTTTGTCTAGGAAAGAGAAAAAAAAAAAAAAGAAGAAAAAGGAAAAAAAAAAAAAAAGGTAAAAGAAAGAAAAGCTCTGTAAGGCCACTATAGGAGCATGATTGGCTCTGGGTCTGTTAGTAGGTCTGGGAAATTTCCCACTGAAAATACTGAATGCAAATCACCCCAGGGGTTACTACATCTGCAGTTGTGTTTTATGGGGTCAGACTGAAGACCCCAGCCCTCCGTTTTGCAGTCTCTGTGAAACACTGCTGCAGTGTCAATGAAGCTGCCTGAGGAGAAGGTCATGTGGAGTGGCATGCATCTTCCCATCATCACTTTTCCTATTTTGCTGTCTTTGTGATAATTTGCATTTCCATGAAGTGTTTCTGCAATTGCTTCCTTCTTACATTCTCCCAGGACCTACTGTAATATTTGGACTGCTCATCTGCTTTGTCTCTTTCTTTGCCAAAGGCTAACCTGAGAAAACAATTATTTTATTGATGCCTCAGTTTCACCCATCAAAAATTGGGTCAAAATTGTGCAGTCAGCTTGGAAAATGCTCTTTCTGACAGGGAGAGTTAGCCATGACAGAGACAGGGGCAGAAAGAACACATCAGACAATAAAAGACATTCCCAGCCCTGAAGATTAATTTCCTAAATTACATGGCAGCTACAAGATGAGGAAAAGAAAGGATTATTATTTGCATGCCATGGGAGCAATAATGCTATGATTACTACTCCAGGCATAAAGACGTTAAGGCTCAGTTTGTGCTGCAGTGCAGAGATCTCAGAGGTGTAGCAGCACTGTGCCATGAGCAGGCAGCTTTGTGAGGCCCTGAAGGAATCACACGCTCTGCTTGTTGTAGAGTCCGGATTATGATGAAGACCACCCAAGTTCACATTAAAAAATGCTTCCTGCTGCCCTAGATGTAATGGGTGCACAGGAGCTGCCATCCAGACCATCTGATGGAAAATTAAGTGTGTGCATCCTCAGCCTTACCCCTTCCCAGCTCATCTTAGTCCACCAATTTTGGCTCTAACATCTCAGGAAGTTGACTGAGAAGCACTAACTCTCCCGATTGACTTTAAAGGGCATCTTAAGGTAACCCAAAATTTTATTGCATTAAATGCCTAAAGCTGAAGTCTGCCCCAAGGAGCCTTGGGAAGTGATCCAGGTCCTGGGACCCAACATTTCACCACCTGTAGGGGATGGTCCATAGGGGTCCAGCTGCTCCTATGAGCTCAACTGAGCAGCCAGTTTTCCAAACTCTGAATATTGAGCTCCTCTGAAATCCAGCCCTGCCTTTTTTTTTTAGCAGGAAGTCCTTGGGTTTTGAAAAGCACAGGGCCCTAGTTCACCTACTGAATTTGATGTAGGGCATGACTTACCCAGCATTGTTTTTTGGTGGCAGATATGAGGATCTGGGTAGTTTATCCATTCGGGTCATTGAGCAAGGATCCTCGAAAATTTTGGGTTAGGATTGTTTCTCTCTGTCTAAGGAACATCCCCAAAAGTCATATAGTCATGCATCAGCTAAAATTAAGACAAAACAAAGCAAAAGTAAAACTAAACAAAATAAAACAAAAGTAAAAAAAAAAAAATCCTCTTTCACATGCAGTAGTGGCCCAGTTTGAATACCCAGTGCTAAAAATGGAGAATAACTGAATACTTTTTGGACCCAGCTCAATTCTTCAGAAGTACTAAAGTACATAGGCAGTTAAAACTTTCAAAGGGTCTTAGCTTTAGTGTCTATGGCTGATTAATTAATTGTAGTTTAGATTGTTATTTGGTCTGTTAAGTGTTTGGGCTGTTAACTTTTGGGGCAATGGGCTATCCTTTATTTTCAGTTTGAATGGCGAAGTCTAATTTTATTTGTGACTGCAGGGTGCTAGTGGAGGAAAAGGAAAGAACATCAAGCACCGCTTATTGTAAGTGGAAGTAGGCTATTTAAATATGCAAATTGTGTTCAAAAACGCCCAGAGAAAGAGGGCTGTGGAGCTCCTGCTGTCGCTTCTGAGATATGTAGGTTTTCATTTCCCTGCCCGGGGTGGGATTCAGAGGCTGTGGCAAGGGCAAATGGTCTTCTGCCAGCCTTTGGGAGCACATAGAAGGTGCCAGACTGGGGAAAGTTGGGTAGTCCATGCAGAAAGGTGGGTGGATTGCAGCTTGGTTCCCAACAAGCATCTGCAGTACAGAAAACATCCTTGGCAAAGCTCTAAAGCAGTTAATGTAAAAAGAAAGAGAATCCATTTCAGAAATGATTTCAATTACTAGATTTTAGGGCTTTAAACTGCACTTAGATCACCTTCTTCAGCTACACGTATTATGACACAAACATTGGAAAATGCTTTTTTCGCTTCTGTCTGCAGAAACTCAGCTATGTCCTATAATCCCTCATTATAAGCAATTGGAAATGTCTAGAAGAAAGCTTGCCTTGCCAAGTTTTCTCATGGGAAAAAAAAAAATAAAAAAGGAACACCACAAGTTCCAGGCAAGCAGAAAACTGATAAAATAAGAAAAGAACACATGGTAGAAACAAATGCAGGAATGTCTCCCTAATGAGCAAATTCACCAGCTGCGGTCAGAAGACGATGGACAGGTTTATGCCCTAGGGATGTTGGTGAAGTCAATGTCAGGCTCAGGTTCCCGTTCCTTTCACCCTGACACGGGGAAACTCCTCGAGTCATTTTGAGTCAGTGTCTCTGCCTCCGATATTTTCCTGCCAGCCTGGTTACGTGGGTGATTCTCTGCTCTAGTTTTCAAGCAGAAGTTCTCACAAATTGACGGAGGAGGCTTCGGCACCTCCGCAGGAGGAGCAAGAGCGAGCAAGAGAGAGAAGTATATGGAGGAGGAGGAGACATGAAATGGGCTTTTGAAAACCATAAAATTAGCATAGAAAACGGCGGCAGCTTTTCTTAACTTGGACCGAGTGAGAGGCAGTACAGTTGCCTGCTGATTTTGAAGCCACCCCATTAAAGATCCTGATGGGTGGCCACAGATGTACTGGATTGTCTGCTGCTCGAGGGAAGCTAGCTTTGCAGCTACAGTGACAACCTGAAAGCTTGCAAAAGCAGAGTTCAGGCTTTACTGTGGCTGTTAGTTTGCCATACAAGTTCCCTAGTGTTAGAGGCATTAAATATATATATATACATATGCAAATAACTCCAGGACTGGAAGGCTTGCAAAGCCACTGGGGATGCTTTTTTTTTTTTTTTTCAGCCCAAAGATTTTCAGGAATTTAGGTCCCAGATCATCACCTGTAGCTTTAAACATTTAATTGAAGTTTCTAAGTTAACAGCTCCTTTTTTTTTTTTTTTTTCACCAGCTTCTCAGGGAAAGTCAGGAGAGAGAAATCAGCTCCATTGTTCAGTGCTTCCCCAGGGAAACACCTGTTAGCTCAGGGTTTGGTATCTGCTTTCCTCACTAAATATATTGGCACTTCTCAGCTACCTAGTGCTTCTGAAGTAAACGGGAAGTACCTGCACATAACCTCAACCCCACCATGTGCTCAAGGAGAACAAATTGCTTTAGATTTTTCTCAGACTGCAGTTCATAGCCAGACATCTCTTGCATCTCAGCTTGTGCATCTGGGTAAACTTTGAATTTTTCCCCATGGGTGGGAATCACCCATGACTTCCCCAGGTGGGTTGAACACACTGGGAAAGACTGGATATAAACAACGCAAACAAGTGAGACAAAAGCTGTCAAAAGAAAGAGGCAAAACACCACAAATATCTCAACACCTGCAAGTATTCCCGTAGCCATCTGCAGCGTTAATTCTCCAGCAGTGCTGGGGGATTTATCCCACTCCAGGGCTGGTGGTTGTCTCAATAGTTACAAAATGGTCTCACACACTGTAACCAAGTCAAGCAGTGTTTGCAAATGGGACAGGACAATTTCCTCAGGAATACACTATAAATTAATGGCAGAGGTAAACTTTATGGATATTTGCATCATCTGGATGAGGATGCTAAAACACTCTTTGCCATCCCCACATCCCTTCCTTTATACTCCCAAATCAGGTTGAGTTCAGAAAACCTCCTTCTTGAAACACAACCATGGTATTTCGCAGGATCCCCTGTCCTCTTCCCACCTCCTCTGGGGACTGCTTGCTTTCCCCTCCAGGTGAACTTTCCCTTGGGCTGGCTCCCTCTTGCAGGTGGGTGTATGCAGCCTGGAGCTGGCAGGCCAGCCGAGCCGAGCAGGTGGGTGGCACAGACAGCGAGCATGTCGGTGCTCTGGAAATGTGTTACTAGTTGTTCCTATTCCCTGCCGGAGGGTTTCTGCTCTCCCTCCCAGGGACCACGATTTCCCTCCCGTGTTCACCCCCTGCCATGTCAGCCACCTTGGGTTAGCGTGTTTTATTGGTGTGAGGGACAGGAGAAAAAGAGATGGGAAGAGATTGGAGGAGAGTTCAAAGTAGTATATAAAGAAAGCTGGAAAAAAAAAAAAAAAGTAGATTAAAGGTCTCTCTCCTTCTCTGCCATGTCTTTTCAGGAAAATGCTGGCTTTTCATGAAACGCACTGCAGGATGGTCTGAGAGCAGATGAGATGAATGCACTGCAAAGTGTCCAGTGAGCCTGCACACAACTGGGACTCAGGTGAATGTGGGTCACTGTATGAATACAGGAGAGGCAGAAAAGGACTTTGAATCAATTCAGCTTGTTGGAGACTGGTCTGGAGGGACCTCTGGCACTGTGTTATCCCTGCATTGTGTGATGGTCTTTTTTCCTGCCAAAGTGAGCAAGGGCAGTGGAGATATCCGTGAATGGTAACAGATCTCATCAGCCAATGGTAGAAAAGGAAATAGTAAAAAATAAAAATTAAAATTAAAAAGCATTTAAATTGCTGTAGAGAAAAACAAAACAAAACAAAAAACAAACAAACAAAAAAACTTTGGACAGATCTGACAGATCTATCAGAACTTTTACATATGGCAATATTAAGGTAACTGGCAGCTGAAGAAGTCCCAACACCTCTGGTTTGTTGAGCTCAGATAACTGAAGCTCCACAGCTGTCTGTATCAGAGATTTTTGCAAACTACTCTCTGATGACAAGACAGGGTTTGATGGACTATGGCCTTACCCAGTCCGGCCATCCTGCTCTTCTGGTGACCCAGCTGAAGTTGTCTCTTGAGCCATGATGCAGGGTCAAAGTTACCTCTGTTGATGTTCTGTTATCAGAAAGAGAGTTGGAATGAATGGCAAACAAAACTGCAAAAAGAGCTTGTTCCTTAGTGAATGACACAACCACGGTGGGAGCAATTGCTGATTCATATTTTGCCCTTCCAAGAAATAACTAGCTGGAGAAGAGAGCAAGGTCAGAATGTTTTCTTCCCTATTCTATGTGTTCACCAGACCTGACTCCCTCCTGACATCCAGTTTCAGCCAGAGTTATACCTGTTCTGTGGGAATGGAGATCCCTTGATGCAACCGACATTTCCATCCAATGTCTCTGCCATGGTCACAGGCTGATACCAGTTATCTTCTAATTAAGGCCAAATATTATGGCTAATAAGACTGCATGTTGGTCCACATCCTCTGTGCCTCCTGTTGTTCCCCAGATCCTTCAGCTCTGGCAGGGAGGGAAAGGTTGGTGATATAACAGGCTTAGCACTGCTTATCTCATCACGTTAACCAAGAAAATCTCCCTCACATTCTTCACATGACATTAATTAGTGTATGGAAGCTGGTACTGCTGGGTGTGATGAAGGCAAGCAAATTGAGCTCAAGGAAAATTTTGGGACACGTCTTCCAAAGCAAAAAGAAAATAAAACACATCCAAAAGTAGGCTAAAACCAAGATGTTTCTCTGGTTTGAGAAGCTTATATAATATCTCAGCTTTGGTTAAAAAATAAAATAGAATTGCTCAGGAGAAGGAGGATGAAGAGAAAGTGTTGATTCATTATGCTTTCTTCATTTACTTTGTTACATCTGAGAAGGCAGAAATCTTAGAATTTACAGCCAAGCCATATCATTAACCACTTTAGCTCCATTCCTCTCATACTACCTGCTAGCCTGACCCTATATTCTCCATCCTTGGTGTTTATCTCCTTCAGATACACATAAAGAGTACCAAATCTCTCCCAGACTTTGCCTTCATAATGATCCAAGTTTTTCTGTGCTCCATTTATATGATGTCTTATGTTTCCAGATGTATCCCAAAGTCCTTCCCAGTCATTTAAAATGGTCTTTATCAAAGATGACCCCTGGCTTCTCTACTGCCTTACGTCACCTCCACTCTGTGATCCTCATTCCTACTCTGTTTCCGCTTTATTTACCTCATCTTGTTCTCTGTTCTGAGATGAGCTGTCCTTGTTTTCTTCCCTATCCATCCCTCCTCCTTGTTTCTGTTAAAGTTTGAAGCAAATTCACCTGAAAGTCATAGGAATTCCTAAGAAACCATCTCCTGAGCACAGCTCAATGACGCTGATGCCAGCATTATGAAGACTGTGTTTTCCTGGATAGCATGACTGTTCACAGCTCTTGCAAATAAAAGGAATTAGAGGAAAAAAAAAAAAAAAAAAAGGACTTGAGGTGTGTGAGTAATACAACATCATCCATGGGGACGCGTGCTGGGATAATACACAAAAACAAGTTGAAAACATGAAGTATTTTCACCTGCAAGTTAACTCTCACTACACCTGGGGAAGGTAATGGAAGGCAGGATTCAGAGCTACAGCGAGAGAAACTGAGGCATGGCGATGTGATTTGCACAGATCGTTCAATTAGTTTGCTGGAAATCTTAAGATCAGGTTGTTTTTGTTTTGGAGTGGATTATAGCTGTCAGAGTTATGAAAGAAAGCTTAATTTAATTACACAATAAGAAGACAAGGCTATGAACTCCATCAGTTACCAGGTAAAGAACCGAGAGCAGTTGGATGTTCCACCGTGTTTGCACCTGTCTATGATGCTCCCACTTGGCTCTTCACCTCACTGCATGTGTCCTCATTAACAGCCAACAGCCTAATGAAGTCTCTTCTCCTTGCAGCCAAACATGACTTAATAGAGGCTCTACCTCTTCCACAAGCTTCCCTTGAGCCTGCTCCAGGGCCACCAACCAAGGCTGAGCACAGAGAACACCCCGCTACCCAAAGACATCGCGGCAAAGTGCTCTCCGTTGGCACGGAGGTGGTATCCGTTTCAGCTGACTTTCCCACCTCCAACGAAGGCTGTAGCTCCGCGAGGGGAACAAACACACCATAGAAGGGAAGCGAGCTGTGCCAAGTGCTGCAGAAATGGGACACAGATGGTGTCTTAAACGAGAACGGAAGTTTATTTGGGGGCTCTACGCGTGACGTAGCGTTGCAGCTCTCGCAACAGATGACAGACACCAGGATTTCAGAGCTGGTGGCGAGATAATTTTGAAACACTCCCTGTCCACAGAGCTATTAGCTTGTCGAAAATAAATTTAAAAAAATAAAAATAAAAAAATTAGAACCCAATAAATGTTTCTTTAAGGATAGGAATGTGTAAACCTGCTCTCATTTATATTTACGTCCATTTCTCTAATATCCCAATAATAATCACAGCTGTTGTTGCCTGGTTAGTCAGCCCGTATGGCTGTGCCGATTGGCCAGGTGGCCATTGCTAATGGCAATATTTGAAGATGACAATCCCTGCTGTTTACCTAAACTTCTTTCTTTCTCTACCCACAGAATCGTAACGTAGTTGAGGTTGGAAGGTCTCTGGAAGTCTCCTGGTCCAAACACCCTGCTACAGAAGGGCTGCCTAGGACTGATTGCCCAGGGCTTTTCCAGATGGCTTTTCAAGATCTCCAAGGATGGATACCACAGCCTCTGGGCAACCAACCCCAAATCTCTCAGCCTCTCCTTATATGAGGGATACTTCTGTTCCTTAATCATCTCCCCTTTGCTGGAAGTTCTCCAGTAGCTCCATTTCTCTCTTGTACCGGTCAGCCCAGAACCAAAACCTCCAAAACTGCTGAAAAAGGCTGCTGAAGCCCGGGATTGAACCAGGGACCTTTAGATCTTCAGTCTAACGCTCTCCCAGCTGAGCTACTTCAGCTCTGCCCTGGCATGAATATTCGCCAAACCTGATGCAATGTAATCATCCTGGAGACCTTTCCAGACAAACCTTGTTGACATTAGCTTGTGAGTCAAGTAAGTCATTTCAGGGAACAGAATGCAGACAGGCTGGGCTCAAAAACAATGGTCCAACCATCTGCATCAACACAGGGCCCTCACTGTAAGACACCTCTCTATATATAGAGGCTCTGTGTGTGAGCCTTCAATAACAGCATGTCTCTGGGGGTTGTATGGAAGAGGAGCATGGAAACAAACCTTCTGTTCCTGAAGGGCTGAAAGGGGAGTACATTTACCTTCATGTTACAGAAGGGATCTGTCACTCACAAATCATTGCAAGGAAAATGAGGAGATGGAGCTAGGTCTCTATAAATGCAAAACTACTGATGGGAGCTGAATGACAAGGGTGATGGAGGATGAAGAGGAAAGACAAATTAATAGTAAGAAAAGCTCAACAAATGACTGTGAATGGGAACAGAATAAAAGGGACTATCAAATACAGACCATTTGTTCTGTGTTTCTTGTTTTGAATAGAACCTGTTGTTTTCTTCTTCAAATACTAATTCTTTGTCACTCTGTTTAAGGTTAGACTTAGATGTCAGTTGTGCTGGTTAATTTAATTCTCTTCTGTAGAGTTAGACTTATCTGCAGTGCCACCTCTGCCCTATGGACCACAACACATTCTGCTAATTAGAGAAAAAGAGAAAAATAAAAAATAAAAGATAAAAGAAAAAAAAAAGAAAAAAAAGAAAAAGGAAAAGGAAAATAGAAAAGAGAAAGAATTAAAAAGGGAAAGGGAAAGGGAAAGGAGAAAAGGAGAAAAGGAGAAAGTAAAGGTAACAAAAAAAAAAAAATGAAAAGGTGAAAGAAGAAAGAGGAAAAGGGAAAAAAAAAAAAAAAAAAGACTTCCATAAACCCAAGGCTGTATGTTCAGAGCAGGTCTGTGTGTTTTTATCTTCAGAAGGTGCTTACAGAAGCAGTTCCTTCAGCACAGTGAATAGGGATTGCACAAATACAGTTTGGAACAGCCTGCAGGAATGGAATCACAGAATCACAGAATTTCTAGGTTGGAAGAGACCTCAAGATCATCAAGTCCAACCTCTAACCTAACACAAATAGTCCCCACTAAACCATATCCCTAAGCTCTATTCTCTTTCTAGAATATTTTTCCTCATTTGCATGCTGGAGGCAGAAAGAAAAAAGATTGCAGAGCCAGCTGATCTGTTAGATGACTATCGTGGAGTCTATCACAACTGTTTACTTGTGTACAAAGCTTTGCTGCGGAAAGGACACTAATGTCTGCAGCGTGGAGCTGCTCTAGGTCTATTTATTTTATAAAGACTCAGTCTATTTTGAAACACTGGTGCTTCTGATTCTGCTGGAGGAGGCCTTGAGCACGGTTTTGTTCTTCCCTGAAGAGCTGTGAGCTATTTAGCATTACCACTACTCATGACCAGCTTTACAAAATTCCTAGAAGGCCAGATGGGGACATCAGACTGACAGGTAACAACAACTACAAGAGAAGGCTCGTTTTGCTGAACCTGGAAGGACTTTTTCTGCAAGCCCTGGAAGTCTGAAAAAGGTTTCTGGGGTAGGATTTATTTCACCTGACTTCTCAGAGGTCAAAAGGCAAATCTCACACACAACAATCACTAAATAGAGCTAATAGAAATAGGAAACACTGGTGGTGAGTTCCCAAAATGAATTTCCCTTCAAAACCAAACCAAACCAAACCAGACCAGACCAAACCAAACTAAATTTCTGTATCTTAACTCCAGAGGACTCTATATGACACCTCAGTTGGTGTCAACATATGTCCACAAAATGAGTTTCCCCTTTCTAGCAGAGATTTATGCATGCATCAAGAACAAATTTTGGGGAAGATACAACTCAGTTTCCTGCAGCCATGCCAGAAATGATATTTCCAAGTGACAATGCAAAGGGGTATTTCCACCACTGAGTTCTGCCAAAACATGGACTTTGCCTGCAAATAACACATGCACATACTGTATGCTACACTGTGTTGTATGAGGTCACAGGGTGGGTGATGGTGTCACCACGTGAACATTTAGTTTTGCCTCTCCACCAACAGCTGGAAAGCTGCAGGCTGCACAAGCTGTACTGGAAAATAGTGTGTGGCTCAGGGACAAGCTCTGCTGCTGATGCACAATTTTAATGAAGATATAAAACTCTTTTACCTAAAGAAACCAGGTTATGGAATCACTCCACGGGGTTTTCCAGAAGCAGGGTTATCCCCATGGTAAAGATGGTCTGGTTCCCTTCAAAAGCTTATCTACAAATTTAATTAGAACTGACAGCCCGTGTCAGTTCAGAGTCTGCACAAATCACAGCCTATCCTTCATTCTGTTCTCGACTATTCCTGAACTTCTGTGCTCTGTGCACAGGGATTTGGAGATATCTAGAATGAAGGAGACAGAGCAACAGAAACTTCTCAAGGCCAGTGGTGCCACCTAATGGGAAAATTCCCAAGGAATCAATTTTTCGGAAGTTAAGTCCTTAATTGGAGTGTTGCTAGGTGACGTAGAGATGGAGATCAGCGGCTCTGATGCAAGTCTCCCTTTTCTGCTGCTTTACGACCATCCACCCGTCAGTCTATTCCCTATTCCCCAGAATCTGAGCCGCACACGTGAGACAGCCCTGAAAAATTAATTCCATTTCCTGCTCAGTTCCACTCTCAGCAATTCCTGAAGCTTCTGAAGTATTTTTGACCTCAGTGGTGCTCAGGGACTGACTGGAGAGGAAATAATCCCAGATTTTTATGGTCATAAAAGTGAATAAATAAATAAATCATAAAATAAATAAGAGAATGAGGGGCTGATCAGATAGGAATCAGGACCCTGTGGGCTGCTGTAGGTTTTCTCCTTAGCTACCCCCTTTGCAAACAAGAGGTGAGATAAGCTCTCTGCATTGCAACCTCCATGCACTGTTACAGCTCTGGCTCTGCAAAACAAATGATAAAGTCTCAAAAGCAGTGCCTGACAAAAGTTACCACATGGCAACCCCCTGCAGCCTCTTTGCATCATAAATAATCACCAGAGTGGGCAAGAATGAGCCATGAAGCCTGTCCCGGGCTCAGGGGATTATTTCACTCCAACTGTGTTGCCTTCCCAGCACCTACACTTATTTCCTCCTGACAATCCTGCTTGCCACAGCACCCCTGCTGCCATCAGTTTGCAGGAGTGTGTCACAGCAGTTAGAGCAGGGTCTTGGTCTTTCTCAGATCTCATCTCTGCTCTGCCATCGATGAATCATGTGTTTTAAGCTGCCTCAGTCAGCTGCTCTTTTATTTCACTTTCTTTGAGGTTGAAAAGTTATTTCCAAAGTATCTTTCTCATTTCTTCCTGGGATGACGATGTTTGAAAGGTGCTGGCAGTTTTTATATGTATCCAACAAGCAAACAAGAACAAAGCAAAGAAAATTACATATAAATGCATTAACTACTGTTCTTAGGATGAAGGTTTAAGTTACGTTATGGAGTGGGTCAGTGCCCACTTTCAGTACCTCGCTGAGCTTGAACACCATCATCACAGGTAAGATGGCAGCTCATGAAACCTCTGTGTAATTTCATATCCGAGGAAGGAATTAACATTTAGGGCAAAGGGGAGAAACTGGCTGTTAAGCAGGCTCGAATCATTAATTCTAGCTGGGAGCTAGGCTGGTAGTGATGACTCTGCAGCTGTGGCTGCTGTTGCTCGAAGCCTCAAACACTGCCTGTAAGACCTAGATTGGTAAAAGTAATTGTCCTCAGAGCTGAGGATGATTCTCAGTGACTTTCCCTTATGTACCCCTTGAGTTGAGCCCAAGTGGTGCAGCAACCAAAAGGGGATTCATCTGTACGAGTGCTGTGGTTGGAAAGCCTGTGGTTCAAGGCGTGATGCTTGGAGCATCCCATGAGCTGGTCCACAAAGGGCTGAGCCTCAGTGAGCAGTGAGAGAATGGCCACAGGTTGTGCAAGAGCTGTGGAAAGCTTGGTCCAGGTCCCACTTCAACTTGCTGGACTCTATTTTCCTTAATGCTTCACGGTGTAGTGACTCCATGGGTATTCGAACCCATAAAACCAACCCTACCTGAGACACAGTGACCTGAGGGATGGAAGGGAGTGAAGGATGAGTATCCAGAGAGTACCAAGCTTTAGCTGTCACACAGCCTGGAGCCAGGGCTCAGCTTTCTGAGTACTCTCCTCTGGCTCTTTCCTCTAGCCTGGGAGCCACATGGTTCTGGGGAGGAAGAAATGAGCTCCCTCTATCTCACCCTTACCTCTAAGCAGACCCTACTGCATCAGATGGCTTGGGTGAAGAAGATATGTGGTGCCATGGATGGGCCTCTGCAAACCAGAGCAAGCACACACTGGGAGCTGATATATTTATCAGACTCTGGGGTCATTATCTGGAGTCTGAAATGAAAAACTTGTATGCTTGTATCTGAAACATTTGGCTGTTAAACCCCATCTGCCTGAAACTTGCCACCACAAGCAGCCATCGCATCTGAAGTTGGGTTCCTCCAAGCACCTCTCCTAGAGGACAGAAAGAGGCTGTGCCAGAAGAGAACATTTGGAAACCTTTATCAGAGAATCATAGAATATCCTGAGTTGGAAGGGGTCCACGAGGATCATTGAGTCCAACTTAATGCTCAATCCCATTTACATGAGTGCCCAAAACTTGTTGCCCTGCTGCCCGGTGCTGTTTCAGGTGCTGTGATGCCAGCTGGTGTCACCTGCTTCTGCTGCAGTCACATTAGTCACTTGCAGCAGGGTAATTGCAGAGTCTCATTTCTCCATCTCACTTTACCATCTCAGAGCTGCATTGCTTAAATCCCCTTCCATCTCTGCACACAGAGAGGAGGGTACCTTTGGGCTCTTTCAAAGTCAAAGCTTATGTGTAGCAATGCTCACACCCTTTCTGGATGCAGACTTTTGCTAGGGGATCTCTTTCCCCTAAAATGGAAATTTGTGATGTTCCAGATGATTAAACTAAGCCAATATGTTTTCAGAAGCCAGTTTGGTATTTGCTGTATTTTTCCCTAGAGGTGCTGAGCAGCAGCTCAGTAAAGCTAGCATGGAAAAAAAAAAAAAAAAAAAAAAAAAAAAAAAAAAAAAAGATAAATCTATCATTTTCCCTGTGCCTCAGTTCCCCCATCACTAAAAGAAGTCTCTCTCTGCTCTATCAGGCTATTGAGAGCTCTCATGCATTCACAGCTGGGATGTGCTCAGATCCCAGTGCCAGAGCTGTCAGTTCTCAGTCTGAGCAACATGTGAACGTTCAGGAATTACCTCCCCATCCTCTAAAACACATCAGGTAGGTGACCCAAGTGACAACAGGCATTGAAATCCCAAAACAACTGTGTATCCTCCTGAATACCCATCCCTAATGCTTCCCTTCCCTTCTCATTGAGAGCAGCCCTGCAGAGGAGGACTGGGGGTTCTGGTGGACCAAAGGCTCAACATGAGCCAGAAGTGCACACTTTCAGGCCAGAAGGCCAACTGTGTCCTGGGCTGCACCAACAGAGGTGTGACCATCAGGGGAGGGAGGTGATTGTTCCCCTCTGCTCCACCCTTGTGAGGCCCCACCTGGAGTAGTGCATCCAGGTCTGGGGCCCCAGCACAAGAAAAATGTGGATCTGTTAGAGCGAGTCCAGTGGAAGG